GTAGGGGAGACTGAGGTCAATGCAGTCCGAAATGGATCGGAATCTTATCAAGGTCGAGGCGATGAGTGCGGAGTGGATGGGAAAATTGGTCGAGTTGGAGAGAAAGGTTGCTGGGTTGGAGAGCATCGAGAGTGCCTCGTCCTTGGTGACGGCAACGGCGGTGGCCCTAGAGAACACTATCCGCGTCCTCCAATCCGAGCAGGAATCGAAAATGGCGACAGCCACGCTAAGGGAGGCGAGGCTTGATGAATTCATTTGTGAGATCGATCGATAAGCATCGATCTTGGGGGATCGAGTTGCCGCTCTGGAGGCCGAAAAGGAGCAACTGTTGGCTCAAATCGAGTCTTCCTCCGCCGCCGATCCCTGCCACTTGCACAAGCTTTGGGTTCATGCTGAAGCCCAGCGGGATATATATAAGAGTTTATGGGAGGCGGGCAATGTTACCGAGGCTGCATATTAAGGAGCGTGGGCGAAGGCGCGAGAGGCTCGTGTCAATTATAGATATGACTCAGCGATGCCAAAAGCTGGTGAGGGCGCGGGTGCCGAGAGAGAATTTCTTAGAAATGGTGGTGAAGAGGGTGGCGATGATGACGCCGAGTGAAAAGATAGTTGTCCATGTCTGTTTTCTCTCATTTTTTTAGACTATTGATTCAAGCCATATGTAATCTGCGACTCTTTGTGCAGTGACTTTGTATAAAGAAGAATTTTTCGTTGTTATTTGCCTTGTACCTTTTCTTTGTTTTTGCTTTTCGTGACTTTGGTGCGAGGTACATTCCCGTATGGCGAGTCCCGATCTTTTTTTCCCTTTATATTTTCTGACGGCCCTTGGCCTTAGGAACATTTTGAATTTTCTCTTTGGCGATGGCTCGTAGCCTCGAGGGTGTGATTTTGAACTTTTGTCGAAATATCAACCCGTCGTTGTCCTATCGAGGTCGGATTCTTCTTTTTGGCGAAGTCCCTTGGCTTTAAAGGGTGTTATTTTGAACTTGTCGAAATATTAACCCATCGATGTTCGATCAAGGTCGAACTCTTCTTTTTGGCGAAGACCCTTGGCCTTAAAGGGTGTTATTTCAAACTTGTCGAAATATTAACCCGTCGTCGTTCGATCAAGGTCGAACTCTTCTTTTTGGCGAAGACCCTTGGCCTTAAAGGGTGTTATTTCAAACTTGTCGAAATATTAACCCGTCGTCGTTCGATCAAGGTCGAACTCTTCTTTTTGACGAAGGCCCTTGACCTTAAAGGGTGTTATTTTGAACTTGTCGAAATATTAACCTATCGTCGTTCGATCAAGGTCGAACTCTTCTTTTTGGTGAAGGCCCTTGGCCTTAAAAGGTGTTATTTCGAACTTGTCAAAATATTAACCCGTCTTCGTTCGATCAAGGTCAAACTCTTCTCTTAGGCGAAGGCCCTTGGCCTTAAAGGGTGTTATTTCGAATTTGTTAAAATATTAACCCGTCGTCGTTCAATAAGGTTGAACTTTTCTTTTTGGCAGAGACCTTTGGCCTTAAAGGATGTTATTTCGAACTTGTCGAAATATTAACCCTTCGTCATTCGATCAAGGTCGAACTCTTCTTTTTTGCGAAGGCCCTTGGCCTTAAGGGTGTTATTTCGATCTTGTCGAAATATTAACCCTTTGTCATTCGGTCAAGGTCAAAATCTTCTCTTTGGCGAAGGTCCTTGGACTTAAAGGGTGTTATTTCGAACTTGTCAAAATATTAACTCGTCGTCGTTCGATCAAGGTCGAACTCTTCTTTTTGGCGAAGGCCCTTTGCCTTAAAGGGTGTTATTTCGAACTTGTTGAGATATTAACCCGTCGTCGTTCGATCAAGGTCAAACTCTTCTCTTTGGCGAAGGCCCTTTGGCTTAAAGGGTGTTATTTCGAACTTGTCGAAATATTAACCCGTCGTCGTTCGATCAAGGTCGAACTCTTCTTTTTGGCGAAGGCCCTTGGCCTTAAAGGGTGTTATTTCGAACTTGTCGAAATATTAACCCGTCGTCGTTCGATCAAGGTCGAACTCTTCTTTTTGGCGAAGGCCCTTGGCCTTAAAGGGTGTTATTTCGAACTTGTCGAAATAATAATCTGTCGTCGGTAGATCAAGGCCGAACTCTTCACTTTGGCGAAGGCCCTTGGCCTTAAATGGTGTTATTTTGAACTTGTCGAAATATTAACCTGTCGTCGTTCGATCAAGATCGAACTCTGTCGTCATTCTATTAAGGACGAACTCTTCTTTTTGGCGAAGGCCCTTGGCCTTAAAGGGTGTTATTTCGAACTTGTCTAAATATTAACTCTTCGTCATTCGATCAAGGTCGAACTCTTCTCTTTGGTGAAGGCCCTTGGCCTTAAAAGGGTTTTATTTCGAACTTGTCGAAATATTAACTCGTCGTCGCTCGATCAAGGTCGAAATCTTCTCTTTGGTGAAGGTCTTAAAGGGTGTTATTTAGAACTTGTCGAAATATCAACCTGTCGTTGTTCGATCAAGGTCGAACTCTTCTTTTTGGCGAAGGCCCTTGGCCTTAAAGGTTGTTATTTCGAACTTGTCGAATATTAACCCATCGTCGTTCGATCAAGGTCGAACTCTTCTTTTTGGCGAAGGCCCTTGGCCTTAAAGGGTGTTATTTCAAACATGTCAAAATACTAACCCGTTGTCGTTCAATCAAGGTCGCACTCTTCTCTTTGGCGAAGGCCCTTGGCCTTAAAGGGTGATATTTCGAACTTGTCGAAATATTAACCCGTCGTCATTCGATCAAGGTCGAACTCTATCGTCGTTCTATTAAGGACGAACTCTTCTTTTTGGCGAAGGCCCTTGGCCTTAAAGGGTGTTATTTCGAACTTGTCGATATATTAACTCTTCGTCGTTCGATCAAGGTCGAACTCTTCTCTTTGGCGAAGGTCCTTGGCCTTAAAAGGGTTTTATTTCGAACTTGTCGAAATATTAACTCGTCGTCGCTCGATCAAGGTCGAAATCTTCTCTTTGGTGAAGGTCTTAAAGGGTGTTATTTAGAACTTGTCGAAATATCAACCTGTCGTTGTTCGATCAAGGTCGAACTCTTCTTTTTGGCGAAGGCCCTTGGCCTTAAAGGCTGTTATTTCGAACTTGTCGAATATTAACCCGTCGTCATTCGATCAAGGTCGAACTCTTCTTTTTGGCGAAGGCCCTTGGCCTTAAAGGGTGTTGCCTTAAAGGGTGTTATTTCAAACATGTCAAAATACTAACCCGTTGTCGTTCAATCAAGGTCGCACTCTTCTCTTTGGTGAAGGCCCTTGGCCTTAAAGGGTGATATTTCGAACTTGTCGAAATATTAACCTGTCGTCGTTTGATCAAGGTCGAACTCTTCTCTTTGGCGAAGTCCCTTGGCCTTAAAGGGTGTTATTTTGAACTTGTCGAAATATTAACCTGTCGTCGTTTGATCAAGGTCGAACTCTTCTCTTTGGCGAAGTCCCTTGGCCTTAAAGGGTGTTATTTTGAACTTGTCGAAATATTAACCCGTCGTCGTTCGATCAAGGTCGAACTCTTCTTTTTAGCAAAGGCCCTTTGGCTTAAAGAGTTTTATTTCGAACTTGTCGAAATATTAAACCGTCGTCAGTCCCAGTTTTTGGAGAATCAGGTATCCTCTAGGGGAGTCCTAGTTCGCTTGATAATGTTTGCATTGGAGAGTGTAATGTCGGAGAGTACGAAACGTTGTTGTTTTGCTTATGTTCGTTTTGTGCACACATTGGAGTTTCCTTGTCTGATTCCTGCTTTCCGCTCTGGAGATGTCATCGGTGGGCGATATTTCGGTTGTCTTGTAGTAGTTTCCCATTCTCTGATTGAGATGTTCCTTTGCTCGCTCGCCCGCGCGGCACTTGTGTTCCTGCTTGAGCAAAGAGCAGAAGGTGAGTCAAAATGATACTTTCCTTACCCCCATCCGATGAATCGGTGAATGAGAGTAAGTTTGTAACGTTGCTCGTTTTATCTGGCATTTCGACGGTTGATGGGGCAATGATTTCTAAACTTGGTGACTGTATTCATCTCTCTTTCCCCTTCTATGCTACACCTTTGCCCTGCGTGGGTTGGGCTTTGTCTTAGCACTCTTTTTGGTGGGTAATTGTGTTTTTTGTCTTTGATTTTGAAGAGACTAGGAAATTTCACTAAGAAATCCCCACAGACGGCACCAAATTATTTGACTCAAAAGATATTGGTACCTTTTTGAATAAATCAATTAAAGAAAATGAAGGGGTAAATCTTAGTCAACCATAATAAACTCCAGATCAATAAACTAATTGGAAAAATAATACATAAGATGAGATAGAGGTAACCAATCTTATTGAAATTTTCCGTTATGGCTCCCATTAATCAATGGTGGAGACCATTTTACATATTTTCTTGGAGAATGCTTCGCTCTTCTTTTCATTTTGATGATTACAGAAGAGAGAACTAGGGAGAGAGAATGAAGTGAAAAACTTACCGAAGGGTTTCCCCCACTATATATAGTCATGAGACCTTTGCTATGTACTTGGTATGACGCTCTTTCACACTATGTATGCCTTGGTCGTCCCCTGAACGTTGTAATATGGAATAGATCATGTCGTCTTTCGCTGCCTTGCCGCTTGGACGGGATATTGGTCAGCTTGACTGCAAAATGTTATGGATAAATTTAACGTATGTTATTAGAAAAATGTTCTAGGATTTTCCTATTTCCATTTCATAGGTGAGACTTTGCTATCTGTCATATGTGTGGTTAAACAACCCTAACCCTAAAAATAGAGAATATATGTCACGGAAAATGCAAAGTACTAGTAGTAGTAAAAATAAAGCAAGAGAGCATTAAGTACAAAAATTTTATGGATAAATTTCTACGTACTTTACTAACATTTTAGGACTTTCCTATATATCCATTTGATTAGTGCAAAAGTACTTCTGCTATGTCTCATATGTGTGGTTAAATTAGAGAATAGAGATTAAATAACTGCACATGGAAAACCCTATTCAATAGCGCTTATTCTTTGTTTACTTTGGCCGGCGACCACACCAAAACTATATAAAAAACACACTAATTTTTAATCTAATCTAAACCACCAAGAAACTACAAATTCTAATCTACATTAAGCCCCACCACTCTCAATGATTCTTCTTTTTTTTTTCTTCCCTTCGTCTTCTTCTCCTTCCAAATTGTCCTGTCATTTGTTTGTTTCTTCAAAGCTTCATTTGCAGAAGAAGAATAAAACCAGTTCATATATACTTTTATACTACATTACTACTATATATTTCTCCCTTCCATTTCATTCTCCACGAACAAGCAGCTGTCAATGAGATCACAAGTAAAACCCACATTTCATTGTCTTAATTCCCATACTTCACACACCGCCTTTCCCATTCTTCTTTAATAGGATATGCTAATTTATTTATTTTTAACATTCATTCACTGGTGCTAGTTCTTGTTAAGTCACTTTCATCCCTTGTGAAAGTACTGAATCAGAAAGGTGGTGCTGGCCTGCAGGTTCATGTGGTGGCGCCCTTATTGCTTTCAGAATTATTCATCATTCTTGATGTTGCTCACGTGATTTCAGTCCTTTTCTCTACCTCTCATTTATTCTACCTTTGATCTTAATTGGTACGTTGTTCTTTTCAACCCTTTATTTTTCCTTTATATTTATACACATGAATTCAGAATAAATGTGACCTTATTATATTTTGGACTCATAAAACCTGCCTCAAAATACGCCTCTGCTTATACATGTATATTATATATATATGTCCGTGTTGTCTTGTGTGTTCATGCACACTACTTAGCTTTTTTATTTTGCCTGGTGAAAGTGCATAATTAAGTTACGTGTTTTCTTTCATTTTAAGGTGTTTTTGTTTTCTTGAGAAATGAGTGAAACAGGTGAAATCTTTGGGTTTGGGTTGCAGGGAAGGAGAAAGAGAGGGATATTAGAAGCAAGAACAATGGCTGAATTGCTAAGAGAAAGAATGGACGGCAGCGATCGTGTCGTGAGACGACGAAAGAGTCTAACTGAACGGTTAGGATTCTCCGGACCCATTGCATGTTGTGGGTCCACCTTGTGCCTCAGACCAGCTTCGTTAAGTGTGGTTGATGATGATGACGACAGCGAAGAACCACTACAAGCACCGTCGGAGGCGGCGGGAGTGGGAGGCCAAGCGCCGCCGGAAATAGAGTCAGCTTTGGTATGTTTGGCTCATATTCCGGCAGGTTCAGGGATGAACTTGGCGGCGGCGTTAGCGGCGGAGCGTAACTTGAGATCGGCCCAAGATTCAAGCCCAAGTCAAATATCAGGCCCAGGACCAAATACAAGCCCGTTGAGACCCAATAACAATGGGCCGGGAACTGGACAAGAAACACCATTTAGGATGTCGTTGATGAGATTATTAGAGGAAACGGACGGCTGCGATGCAAAAGGAGAGGTCAAAGAAGGAGTAGGAAATGATACAATGTGCTGCGTGTGCATGGGAAGGAAAAAAGGGGCAGCGTTCATACCATGTGGACATACATATTGTAGGGTGTGTTCAAGAGAGCTTTGGTTAAATCGAGGGTATTGTCCCCTCTGCAATAGATCCATTATTGAAATTCTCGACATTTACTGAGAAAACTCCAAAGGATTGGTCATGGATTTTTGTGTTAGATTTCTCATCAAAGGGAGCAAATGATTTGATTTTTAATTAAAAGAAAGAAGAAGATTAAGCAAAAGCACATGAAATTGTTGTACCTAGAGGTGTAAGAATTTGTTCCTATTTGTTTTCTGAATCTTTGGTCGAGCACCTATACTAAGCCTTTCTTTCCAGCTTGGTTGTCAACACAAATCTGTCAACTTGGAAGTTGGATCCACCACATTAAATATCACATTTTCTCATTAATCAAATAAGAGATTCTACTTCTTAGCATAGTACTGTGGCAATACATCACCATTTCAACAAAAAGATACATTCATGTTTAAGTAGTTTATGCCCATCAAATGTGGATGCTAGTTTTGTTTGTTGCTTGTGTACAAGTGATTAAGGAATAGAGGAATTGTTAGTCCGGCACAAACATAAAAATTTAGCTTTTTATTTATGTTTGGACCAAATATCCAAAGTTTTACATGTCATCTTGGAATCCGTAAAAAGAGGTTATCTTTGACATGAATGTTTTGGAAGGGAGAAATGTTGTTTGCACCCTAAAAGGAGCTTTCATATTCATAGAGAATAACCCCTTTCTTTTGGATACATCTTTAGTTGTACGCGAACAACGAGCCCATAAACAGTGAGCAAATGAGAAGTGCTGGACTGAAACTATCTTCGATCTGGCCCAATACAAAGTTGGAGCAGATAAATGGGTTTTGTGACAATCTATTCAAAGCTTTCTCAATAGATCCACAGTCACTGATCATTCCAATGTGATTTGGTGCAGAAAGCCCAGCTGGGTGTTAAGAATGATGCAAAATTTGACATAGAAATGACAGCAATGGAACACAAATATCCTGAACTGTCCTAAAATTAAGATATTTAGTTCAAAATTTTCAGTAGAAAATAAATACTAATTAATCCCCACGTAACAGCTCTAAGAATGACTGATTGTGAACTTCATCCAAAATTGACAATAAAGATATCTAACAAAAAGAATTCCAATGACATAGGAATAGTTGTTATGGCGGAATGTGTTTAACCTTTAATAATGACGTATGGTTTAAGTTTCATTCTGCCTTTTTTGTGCATTGGAGGGAAGTTAGAAACATATTGTGTTATAAAATAGAAGTAATTTAGTAAAATGTAAATAAGAAACAGAGATAGAAAGAAAGAGTATTTCACTTCTTTTTGGTGTGTCTTTACAGTGCCATTTACATAGCCTTTTATAGGCATAAAAAGTAAAGACTACTATAGTAAAATAGTGTAAGGGATGGACATAAAGTGAAAATCCATCCACAAACTATTCATACATGGACTTCATCTACATATTATTATTTACAACACCCCCCCTTGGATGACCATATAAAAAAAATGCATCATTAAGAGCTTAATAGGAAAAAAAACGTGAGAAATACATAATTATTTGTAATACGTATTACTTGTTGCCTCATTAAAAACCTTACCAGGAAAACCCAATGAGACAAAACCTTAGTTAAGGAAAAAAGAGTACATTGTGTATTTTTACTCCCCCTGATTACAATATCACTTAAGGGCTTAGATACGCCGCATGCCAATCTTGTATATTAACTTCTCAAATGTTGAGGTTGGCAATGCCTTAGTAAACAGATCCGCCAAATTATTACTTGAACGAACTTATTGAACATCTATTTCACCATTCTTTTGAAGATCATGAGTGAAGAAGAATTTTGGTGAAATATGTTTTGTTTTGTCTCTTTTAATATATCCACCTTTCAGTTGAGCTATACATGCAGAATTGTATTCATACAATGTTGTTAGAATATTTCCTTTTAAAGAAAGCATGTTGCTTGAATGTGTTGAGTTATTGATCTCAACTAAATGCATTCTCGACTTGTTTCATGAATGGCTATTATATTTGCATGATTTGAAGAAGTAGCAACCATAGTCTGTTTCGTTGAACGCCATAAAATGGTTGTACCTCCATATGTAAGTAAGTAGCCTGTCTGAGATCGAGCTTTATGTGGATCAGATAAATATCCCGCATCTGCATAACCAACTAATGCTGACTTGCATTCATTTGAATAAAATAAACCCATATCAATGGTCTCGCAAGTATCTGAATATATGCTTAATGTCATTCCAGTGTCTTTGTGTTGGTGAATAACTAAATCTTGCTAACAAGCTTACTGAGAAAGCTATATCTGGTCGAGAATTGTTGGCAAGATACATTAACGCCCCAATTGCACTAAGATATGGTATTTCGGCACCAAAAAGCTCTTCATCATTTTCATGAGGTCGGAATGGATCTTTATTTATATCAAGTGATCTTACAATCATTGGGCTATTCAATGGATATGCTTTATCCATATATAATCGCTATACCATCTTTTTGGTGTATGTTGATTGATGGACAAAAATTTCATCTTTCATATACTCAATTTGTAGATCAAGATAAAATCTCGTCTTTCCAAGATCTTTCATTTCAATTTTTTTCTTCAAACAGTCTACTACTTTTGGAAGCTCCCCAGGAGTTCTAATGATATTAAAATCATCAACATACACATCGATTATAATATATTCAGATTCAAACCTTTTTATAAAGACACATGGCCAAATTGAATCATTTTTGTACCCTTCTTTCAACAGGTACTCACTAAGGAGATTATACCACATGTGCCCTGATTGTTTCAATCCATATAAGAATTTCTGAAGCTTTATTGAAAAACTTTCTAAAAACATTTATATGCTTCGGGCACTTTAAATCCTTCAAGGATTTTCATAAAAATTTTATTTTCTAATGAGCCATACAAATAGGCTGTGACTACATCCATTAGATGCATATCAAGTTTTTCATGCACTGCCAGATTTATATGATACCTGAACATGATAGCATCCACCACAGGAGATTATGTCTATATATAATCAATGTCAGGTCTTTGAGAAAATTCGTGTACTAAATGTCGTGCTTTATGTCTAATGACTTTATTTTTATTAATTTGTTTTCTCACAAAATTTCATTTGTACCCTACTGACTTTATACCTTCAGGTGTTCGAACTATAGGTCCGAAGACTTCACGTTTTCCAAGTGAAGTTAACTCTGCATGGATAGCGTCTTTTCATTTTGGCCAATCATTTCTCTGTCTTCATTCATTGACTGATTTTGGTTCAAGATCCTCTTCTTGTTGCATTATTTCAACAATAACATTATAAGCAAGAGTATTATCGATAACAATATTATTTTGGTTCCATCTTTTTTCCGTTGAGACATAACTTATTGATATCTCTTCATTCTCATTATTTTCAGCTACATGGACCTCCCCTAAGGTCTTATGATTTGTTATGTCTTGGGGATCTTCTTGAGTCACTACCTCCGTGTTATGACCACTTTGATCATTTGCTCCTTTTCTTCTTCGAGGATTTTTATCTTTAGAACTGATTGGTCTATCACATTTCAGACGTGGTTAGACTCATTTGTTTTAATTGATTGTCCTGCCAGGATATCAACTGTAATTGGAGCATTAGCAGTTGGAATATGTAACTTAGTCACCCTCCGTAGGTCAGTGAATGCATCAGGCAATTGATTTGCAATATTTTGTAAATGAATAATTTTTTGAACCTCTTTCACATTGATTTGTCCGAGGATCTAAATAGGACAGTGATAATGCATTCCAATCTATCTCCTTTTTTAGCTACTTATTTTCTCCCCCTAATGTTGGGTATACTGAATTCATCAAAATGACAATCAGCAAATCTTGCCGTAAATAAATCTCCAGTCATAGGCTCCAGATATTTTATAATAGAAGGAGAAACATTTCCAACGTATATCCCCAACCTTCTTTGGGGACCCATCTTTGTGCATTGTGGTGGAGAAATTGAAACATATATCGCACAACCAAACATTCTAAGAGAGGAAATATTTGGTTCCTGACCAAAAGCCAATTGCAATGGGAAGACTTTATGATAACTTGTGGGCCTTATCCGCACAAGTGCTGCTGCATGCAGAATAACATGCCCCCATACTGAAATGAGAAGTTTTGCTCTCATAAGCATTAGTCTAGCAATTAATTAGAGGCGTTTGATCAATGATTCCGCTAGACCATTTTGTGTATGAATATGAGCAACTGGATGCTCAATTGTTATCCTAGTTGAATACAATAATCATTAAAGGCTTGGGATATAAACTCACCAGCATTATCAAGATGAATTGTCTTATTGCATAATCTGGAAATTGTGCTCTTAGCTTTATTATTTAAGCCAACAATCTCGTGAATTCCATATTGCGAGTTAATAGTAAGCACACATGTGACTATCTTATAGATGCATCTACCAAAATCATATAATATTTGAATGGTCCACATGAAGGGTGAAAGGGCTCACATATATCACCTTGTATACGTTCCAAAAATGCAGGGGATTCCATCCTAACTTTAATAGTTGATGGTCTAATAATTATTTGCCTAAAGAACATGCACCATAAGAGAATTCTTTAAATTGAAGAATCTTCTGGTTCTTCATTAAAACAGCGACCACCAAGACTAGTGCACACAGTCAAGATCTGAGCTAAGGTCTCTTGAAGACCTGGAATAACAATAGGCACAACTGGTGCCTGAGCTGGTCTTACTGGAGCATCCATAACTGGGACCTGATCATGAATTGGGGCAGCTGGTGGATCTGCAGGTACTGCCCTAGCTGCTGTGCAAGCTACACCCCTGCCTCTACCACGGCCTCGACCGCGACCTCGGCCGCTCGTAGCCCCAACTAGTGGTACTGGTGGCCGTCCGTCCTGACCAGTAGCACATGTCCTCACCATCTGTGAGAGAATAACAGAAGTTTAGTTACCAGAATCAACATATTCGCACGACAAGAATTCAAGAATGTGAAGTTTTCTTAAAGGTTTTGTAGCCTCTTGAAGATAAGTATAGACTTCTTCGTACCGATCCGCAAGACTCTACAAAACCCGCTCATGTCCCGTGATACCTATATAATCTAGGCTCTGATACCAACTTGTCACGATCCAAATCTACCATATCGTGATGGTGCCTAACGTGGAAATAGACAAGCCGATTCTTTTACCAAAACAACCTGATATTTCAAAATAAAGACTTCTTCAAGCTACTTAATTAATAAAACTTCATAAGATAAATCTGAATAACAAAGTGCGGA